CCATATCCGACTATTGCTTTATGAAATTCCAGACGATTTTGAAGTTGACGAATTTAAGAAAAAGATAAATGACAAGGTAACACAACCAAAATTGTTACTGATAAAAATTTTTTGGTTACCTGTCTCCGAAACATGTGACTTTCGAAATCTTTCAATCCCTACACCATTACTGCAGTTTACCTTAGCCTTTTTCTGTTTACACAGTTCCCCAAAGTAACCTGCGATCATCTCCACATCTATAAAGCTGAAAACGGTAAATTTGATGCCTTTCTAAACATTACTTATCGGTGTTTAATGGATCACCCACACTGGACAAATGCCGCTCAACTGAATCTGGTTGAAATCCAAAAAGAGGTAAAGTCACTTACCACACTACACGCTTTCTATTTGAAATTTGTATACAGAAAAAAACTAGACAAAAATCATAAGCTTCAAAACTCCCAAGTAATGGCAGAGTATCACTTGCGTCTAAACAGTAGTTTTTACAGATCCGCAGTCTTTTAACTGAGGCCGGTGGCGAACTAATAACGATACAACCATCCATCGTAGACGAAGAAAAATCATCTATATGGAATCACTGCCTTCACGATGACTGTCGCAGAAAATCGTGTTGTCAAATCAGTGAAATAATGATACCTACAGTGAGTAATAGCAGTGAATCATAAAGCATCTTTAATCAGATCACTTTTATTATCATTTACTATTCTTTCCTGTAGTCCAACTGTAATTGTAATATCTTTGTTTGAAGATGTCTTACAACCTCGAAAAAAAAAAAAACCTGCCCTCTACAAATGCTAGTAACGTTTAAATGTTAACCTCTATACATTATAAAACATAAAAATCTCTTAATAAACTCCAGTGGTAACGTCTCCATATAATCGCATTCTTCACCTGATACCTTATCTTTTCGTAAATTCGAGTAATTTCCTTATAAATGTATATCAGTGTTAGTACAGGTCAACATAAATATGCCAGTCATTTGTGAACCTTAACCGCCATTAACTGTTAATAGTCTCGTATCATAGTCCTCTCTGCTGTGCCTGATCTTAAGCTAATAACCATGACTGAGCCATAACCCTAGATGGACCAAATTAAATAAAATATTGCAATCCGGTTATCAAAAAAATGTATTTAAAATTTAACCATGCCCTCCTGCAATATTCCATCGTCAACGCCAATTCATCAAAACTCAGTACATGAAACAGCGCAAATTTGAACCAACTAGTACCACCGTCAGTTTGTCTTTGTACTCCAATTTTGGAAAACCTCTATACACTATTATACTCTAACCGCAATTCCAATACTGTCGCGACCATACACGAAATGGTAAAGTAGATTATAGGGTGATCGGCTGCTGCATGTTCTTTGAGGAGAAGCTCTTAGAGAAACAGCAGACGGGATCACTACGAAGGTGGGAAAGGTGTATAAATAACAAGTGAAGCTCGTCTAAGGTCAATGTTCTTGCCATCGGTTTCGATCAATGGCTTCTTTCCTTGAGCTTCTTTTCTTCATGTTTCCTTCACGTGCCCAACAGCAGAAAAACTATTGTGTGTGCAGTTCCTAATGACTGTGTTGTACTTAAAGTTTATTGATTTATTGTTACGCTACAAATCATATAACAGTTACTGAGACTGCTTTCGCTACTTTTGTACCTGTTGTATTCTTTTTAAGTATGGTTAATAAATTAGTACGTTGGAAGATCTGTAGCACGCACAAAGCGCCCCAGCTAGTTGCCAAGT